CTTCCTCTAGACCAGGTTGCTCCAGCTCCAGTTCAACCTCACCTTGAACACTTCCAGTGACAGGGCAGCCACAGCTTCTCTGGGCAAATCTCTTGGGTCCAAACAAGATGGTCACAGCTGAACATTTCTTCAGTTGGGTTTTAAATCCTGAACCAGGCCAAAGATCAGGTTAGTCCAATGGCCATGGACTACTCTCAGGGTTTCCCTACCCTGACCATCTGGTACTGGAATCATCAAGCTCATGGATGCTGTTTAACTGATAGAACAGACTCATCTGCCACTCATTGTGTGGTGAGATCCCCTCCACCATGTGCCTGAAGGGTGCTCCTCACCCTTTGCTGTGACCCAGCTCTTCAGACCTCTCTCTGAGCTAGACAGGACACATCAGTCTCTCCAAGAAGAGAAGGGAAGATCCACTTTGTTTGGGGKCKTGGGGTTGTTGCAYGCCACAGGCTAGGTTGGGGTGGGCAGAGGACAATAARGAAGGTTCAGAAATGCTTTCCCATCTCTCACACCACTTAGCAAATTGAAGGTAGTTATTCCTCAGTGCTCTCACATATCACTAAGATCTGCTGCTACTCCCATCCATCATTTTTCTGGTGGCTGGTCTTTGCYGTTGGCTTCCACTGAGTAGACTGCCTGAAGAGAAAATTGGCATTTTAGAAAGCATAMAGATGCCTTCAATCCACTAGTAGAATTTTCTTTTATCCTTGCCTCACATGTCCTCCACATGACAGTCAGGATTAGGGAGCTGTTCCCAAGGCAGCCTGCAACAGAAATTAATAGTGTTTACAAGTAATTCAGAGTTCATGACAGACCACCAGTCCTGAAGGACTCAGAGCTGTGTTACCCCTCATCACATACCCCTGAGCTTGGAAGTAGACCCAGGGGTATCAGTGGAATTGCTCCCAACCCAGAAAGTTCAGGTGAAAAAGGGCAAATGGAAGTGAGGTGCCAATTCCCCAACTGGATCAAACTTACCATGACTGCTGGAACAAGGCAGAGCTGAAGCCCATGTCTGAGAATTGCAATATTATCCAAATGTGGAAAAGATACTGTTCTTAGARCTGAGTACATCCATATAATCATGTTTATACTAGGGAATTTCTTCTTCCTGTATGGGTCCTCTTCTTGATCTGATGTCACTGTTGGGAATGGTTGTTATTCCTTGGATGTTGGGAGGTACAAGCTATGACAGAAGCATCTTCTTAAAAAATCCCTTTCTCTMCTGCACTGGCACATCTCTAAATAAACCCTAAATCCAAAGAATATAATGACACAGGAGGTTGCATTTATATGAGGGCTGGCACATCAGCTGATGAAACATCATTTTACCAGTCAGGGAATAACATAATGATAATAATGATATCTGAGGTTTTCAAAGGGATCTCAGAGATTTGCAAGTGTCAAAAGTGATAAATGTCAGTTCTGTGCCCAAGCTGGAGTGGAAGGATGGGGAGTGTCAAGGAGGAACTTCTTTGTCCACCCATGCACAAGGATCCCAGATGTGTGGACACAATGTGTTCAAAAGCAGCTCATTAAAACTGGAGGCATGGAGGCAACTCCTCATGAGGCTGCTTATGGCAGAGTGACACCTCTGCAAAGCCACTTTCAGATCACAGAATTATTTAGGTTGGAAGAGATCTCTAGATGYTCCATTATTAAGTATTTGAGAAGCAGATTTGACTCTCAAAATTCAGCTTATTGTCTCCCCTCCTTGTCCCTTCACCCAGACACCGAAAAGGACAATAATGCCTRTTTCTCATCCAGCCAGTGCCTCCACACCTTCACACTAAATGCTCTTGTAAGACAAAGCACTTCATTTTTAGTGAAGCCCTCCAGCACAACCCTTGGAAAGAGGTGGGCAGTGCCAGTCACWAATGACTTGGCAAAGATTAAGGAACCAGTGAGCAGCAGCAGGTTCAGACAATGATGGTTAAAGACCAGGGAGTCCAGATGTTCCATAAGCCTAATAGGTMCCACTGTCCCTTGAAATACATCCTACCCCTTTCTGCATTTGGTTTTTGCAAGGCCGAGTGAGTTCAGAGAACAGGGCAGCAAAGGCATGTTTTCCAGCACTCATTTTGGGAGCAGATGGATCACCTATCCAGACTGCAGCATGGAAAAGACCCCACACCTTTGTGTCATGGGAGAAGCACTTTGTTGCCCATGATGGATTGCTAGATAAGCTCCTATAATAAATAATCTTTTAAATATGAGCATGTTCTCCAATACCAGCTGGAGAGAGTGAAATGATGAATCCTGTGACCTTTCAGCCCAGCTGAAAACACTCCAAAGATCATAGATAGGTGTGACTGATGAATGGATGAAGGTGGTRGGGAAGGGAGAGGGAAGGCATCACTGTTATTAGCATGTGATCACAGATGGAATAAATTCAGAAACCRATCTGTAAACTAGGCAGGGATAAGAAATAGCACCCTTAGTAACAGGAAGGCAGAAAAGGTTTGGTGGTCCATGGACATCAACAGARTTATGGTGGAGGAGAGATTTTAAAATCATAGAATTACAGAATGGTGTGGATTAGAAGGGACCTTAAAGACCATCTAGTTCYAARCCCCCTAATGTGGGTAGAGATACTATCCACWAGACCAGGTTGCTCAAAAATAYARTAATTTTCTTCAGGTTGGTGGGGATAGCCATTAAAGCAGAAAATACAATTAAAAATTGGAATTGCTGGCTAATTAAATGAAAAAAGAGATTAAGCTAAGATTAGGGTTCACAATTTAAAATAAAATTGTGCCCTCAGTCCTGCTTTCTTCTCAAGCATCATTTTTTCCAGATAGCCAATGCTTTCATTAATATAAAATCATTTGCTTTACACTTCTACAGCCTCTGCCAAGCGTCTGGGCTTGCAGTGCATTGAAAGTGCTCGAGCCCAGAACTTGCCACCTCTTTTCAAAGAGGATTTATAGCTCCTTGACTCTTCTCATTGGCCTTTCAGGTGTTTTTCACAGAATGGTAGAAAAGTTTGGGCTGGAAGGGACCTTAAAGCTCAATTAGTTCCAGCCCCACTGCTATGGGCAAGGACATCTTCTTATAGACCAGGCTTGGTTTAGGGAGAAAACAAAAGCTTTAAGTAGTTGAAAAAAGTGTAATTAGTGTTAGGGCTAGGGTTAGGGTTTGGGTTAGGGTTAGGGTTAGGGTTAGGGTTTGGGTTAGGGGTTAGGGTTACACATCACCTTACCCTCCCTCCAGCTCTCAGTGGGGTACAGTCTCTGCTCCGTGAGCCAGTACAAGGCACAGCAGGGCTCGCACTGCACAAACCCTCTACTCGAAGATACTTTATATAGAAAATAAAAGCAAACTTGCTCATGAGCAGACTCATGACTTCACTGTCCATCTTTGCATTTGCAAATGCTCAGTGCTCATACCAGGTCTGAGGTTAACAGCCATCTAAAGGGAGTTACACTGTGCCAGCCCAGCCATCCCTACAGCAGGCATCAAAGTGGCAACTCTAAGCAACACAAGACCTCATTTCACTTGGACAGGTGTTTCTGTCACTTAGCTGTGCTTCTGATCGAGAAAACAAGATCAAGGAGGTGGTATTTGTCTTTACATTTATTTAGCATTGGAAAAAGAACCCTTTGAGCAAGCAAAGATCACATGCACGTCACAATCAATTGGCTGTACATTAATTTTGTGTATGTGTGTGTGTGTGGGAGAGAGAGACTTTCATCAGAATATCAACAATGAAAAAGCACCACAAGGAGGTGTGCTTAACATGTTTACAAGAGACAATCTGTGATATGCAACCAAACCCAGGCCACAAAATATTAATTAGACACTTCTTATCTGCCTTCAAGAGGCAAGAGGTTGTGGAATTCATGGGCGCCAGGTTTTGACACCAGGTGCACTGCAAATGAAGAAGCAGGTGATYGGTGTGCAAAGCAGCCAGAAAACAGGAGCTCAGTCAGCAATTAGCACCATTTGGCAGAAAGGAGTAACAGTACAATACAGTGAAAATGCAAATAGCACAATTACCCTCTCACAGGGTAAAAAGCAAAACATTTTTTTTTTTCTTTTTACAAGGAAAGCAAAACATCTTATAAATCAGCAGTGGAACAGAATCAGCGCTGTGGTAGCTGGAAACACAGAACAGCAGAACACTGTTTCCCAGTGGGATTGACAAGCTCAGAGCCCAAAGTGAACTTGAAATGACAGAGATTAGGTCTCCTTTCTGATAAACCTGAGTGGGTTGGATGGACATAGAGTCTGTGGAAGGTAGTGCAGTGCAGGATTTCACCCTGAGGCTTGCCTCTGCTGCAGTTCCTGGCATTCAATGCAGTGCCAGCCTGTGTGCTTGGATATGTGTGTATGCTTTGATGCATGCTGAGGAGCTGATGCAGATGGTGCACAAGCCAGGATTTCTATCCCTATGTTGTTGCTRTCTGAGAGGGAGGTATCCAGGCCCTACCAGTCTTCCAGGCTCTTTTTGCAAAGAAAACCTTTCAAGGACCATTTATCCACCCAAAGAGGTGTATCAAAAATAGGCAGCTCAATGGCCCTTGGAAAGTTCCTTCACTAGAGTGGGAATTAAAACCACTGGCTAACTTCATACCTAGCATAGTAGTGAGCTCATGGAATGGCTTRAGTTGGAAGGGACTTTAAAAATCTTATAGTTTCAAGCCCCCTGCCATCAAAAAATTTCATGTATTRTAGAAACAAAAAGCCATATTTTGACACCTCACTTCGTATGTTTCAAACACTGATGGATGCTCTTCATTGGCAAGAAACCATCCCAAAGCCGTTGGATGATCAGCAGTTCATCCAAAGCCATGGAAATGCTTGGATTAGGTGGTCTGAGCATCTTAGTGATGCTCCTTGGGGAAAATTTAGTTCACCTTGAAGTCAAGGGCTAAATTCCCATTGAATTCCAGGTGAAACAGTAGCAAATGTGGTGTGCCTTTAAATGTGAAACTTAGTACTGAAAAATTCTAGGGAGAATTGTGTTGCATGGTCTGTCCTTAAGTAACATTAGGATATTGAGCTATTTGAACTGTCTAGGGCCTACCTGATGTGTTTTGCCTGGTGTGACATATCTTYGCAACTGGTGCTACATCCTGCAATAGGAAAGGACATTACTGAGGATGGTGAAGATGCATGAAGCATCTTAAAAGCCAAGGAATTCACGCCAAAGTCTTGGGAGCTCATCTTCTCTGGCCAGTTGTCCCTTTTGTGATGGGTAGGAAGAGCTGCAAGCAGCATGCCTCTGGTCCAGCTCAACACAAGCYTTTTGCTGAGCTGCTCTGGAGACAGAGCTGTGCAGTGCTGCAGGGCTTTTGTGTACTCAGAAAAGCAATGATCAATGTGAACAGGTCAGCATCTCCATGAGGCATGCACATCCAGGAAAAGAAAAAAAAAAAGCACTACATTCACAAATATTTCCACAGTTTTACTTCCTGGAGGATTTCCCCTGGTTTCCTCCTAAACCATGGAGGTTTAAATACGTAAATATATTTCTATATATGAATGTATATTTTCCACATACACATTGCCAAACCTGATTAGCTCATAGCACACAGTTCTAAAACAGCTAAGCTTGAAATTACACCACTGAATTCAGAACACTATACTTACTGATACTCAAAGGTTTAGGCTGTTAGCACAAGGCAAACAGGACACATCACATGATACATTGAACTTGTCATTTATTCATTACTAAGGCCAGCAAATGTTACTATCTGTATATCATGGAGCTTTTCTCCTCAGTCRAAACTTTCACTCAAACCCTGTAGACCACCACTCATTTATAAATGTTTCCAAAAGACCCAATTCTAATGGGATAAAACCCCCAAAACAGGACTCCTCACCCTCCCAACACATTATTTTTTCTGCTAGATAGTTTCACGTCTCTAAAATACCCCTAGCAGTAAGACTTTCCCCATTCCACTACCTCTACAGCAACACACCACCTCCATACCCTACTTTCTGTCTCTGYGCTTCCCAATTGTCCTCCAGAAGTTTCAAGCTGGCCTTCACATTAGGAGAGGAATTTTGGAGCTGCAAAAAAAAACCAACCAAGAGCCCTGCATCTTAACTTGTAGCTAGCTACTCTGCTATGGGAGAGTTTAACAGCTCAGTTTGGTGGGATCAAGATTAATCCTTATGTATTTAGGACCCAATCCAGARGTTAGGCACATAAATTTGGATTGGGACCCCAACTCTCCCACTGATCCAATGACCCAGATTCTGTGACATAAAATGCCAGCCTGTTGGGTCAGTTCATACTATCTGACAAATGGTCTTGTTGTGTTTAGGGCTTCCAAAATGGTTGTGRGGATTTCCTAGAGAGCACAATAWATAGGATTGAAACCCTGAGAGTTTKTCTGGAAGGWGTCTAAGGATCCCAGCAACTTTTTTTATGGCCCTCTAAGGATGCTCRTGAGCCAACATGAACGTAAACAGGTGGAAGAATCAACACAATGGGCACTGACAGCTCTACSCAGCCTTGGTGAAACATTTCTTTTTACCCCTTTGGAAGGTCATGCCTGCAAACTAAACCACTTTCTGAAACCTAGCTCTGTTGGCACCCCAGAAGTGAAGAAAGCAGATCAAGATTCAAAAAGAACAGTAATAATTAAAAAGATCCATAACCTAGGGAAACAATAGGGAAGAACAATCTGCTGATAACCTAGTCTAACCTGCCATGTRTTTGGAAAGTCTTCACTGCCCACTGCACCTTCCCTCACTCTTTATTTTTTTTAAATGAAGGACTTCAAGTGGTGTTAGTGAGTGAAGTTGCCTTGATGCAGCTGGACCTACTCCCACCTACTGTCGTGGAGGATTTGGCCCTTAATTTCCATGGGATCTCCTTTCCCATTGCTTCTTGGAGCAGAATTCCCATCAGTGTCATCAGGGGAAATTGCTCTTGGCCACACCTCTGATTCTGGTGGATTTACAGAAGATCCACGGCACCATGAATGATCTTGATCCTCTCTGCCTTTAAAACCCTTCACCTGCTGACACCAGTGGGAGGTGACACAACAATGGCCAACCCTAAAGGGCTTCATGGGATGAGAGCACTGCCCCTACATGGCTCAATTTGCACTTCCATGCTGTCAAAGCTCAAGGAAAGGGACAAGCAGTTGGATGTAAATCACTGTTGATCCTTCACCTTCATCTCTTAGGACCCTGCTTATGCATTCCCACATCCCTCACTCTGTGCAGAGCCATGGTGTGCAGGCAAAGCAGAACAATCTGACCTCAGAAACAAGAATTTCCTAATCCTCCTTGGAAATAAAACAGAAAAGCTTCTAAAACAATCAGAACAAAAAGCAGATTAGAAGCCTCTAATTAATTTTGTGGCCTTTATTTAATCAAGGAGAAGAAAAAAAAAGGAAAGAAGAAAGAAAAGGAAAAAAAATGAGAAGGAAAAGAAAATGCAGTGACATTTACTCTTTTGCCTCAGCCAGTTTATTGTTCATCTCTTTGCTTTTCTCCTTATCCTCCGGCTTTGCAGTGTTGGAGGTCTCGGCGCTCTTTTTCTTGGCAGCCCGGCCAGATGCAATCTGCTTGTCTTTGGCCTTTTTCAGGGGTTTATGGCTTGTTGTGGTCTTTTTTGGTTTGGAAGGCTTTATGCTAGGCTTTTCCACCTGCATGGAGGGCGACAGGCAAAATGACAACACAGAGATGGAGAAAGAGGGAGAGAGAGAGAGAGAGAAAGAGAAAGAGAGAGAGAAAGGGAAAGAGAGAGAGAGAGAAGGAGAGACACAAGGACAGGTGGAAAACATTGGATTTAGATCTGAAACAGGAACAAATGTTRCTTTATCTGTTCAGCTCTGCCCAGCCACAAAGGCAAGGGAGCAGCTGGGCTTATGCTGAGTTACAAATGGCCAGCTCCCTCCAGGGTGCCCCTGGAGCCAGCAGAGCCCATTGTACCCACATCATGATAGAGTAGGATGAATAGGAGAGGGAATATTATCAGAAATTTTATCAATTTCWGCATATTTCTCTGATTTCAGGAGAGGTTTTGCAAACCTATAGAGGGTAGTCTCTCTCTGGACTGGAAGCAGAGAAATGATGCTGAGGAAAAAAAAGCTGCTCTAAGTCTCCATCTTTCCTGCAGGAGGGAACTCCTCTGCTTGTTTCTCCTTAATAGATTCCCAAAATGGAAAAAAAATTACTTTGGGATAYGTGAGGTGCAGAAAATGAGAAAATTGGCACATGAGAAAATTCCACAATAGTGTCTTGTTTCTATATCCCCAAAATAGGAAGGASAGCTACCAAAATTAAGGGGGAACAGAAGCCTTCAGCTCCTACATGCTCACCCTGCYATCCCTCTCAGACCTCATGGATCTAAGCACTCATCAACTCAGGGAATGACTTATGGTCCTGGGTTTAAAACTTCACAGAATGACTCATTTTAAATGCAGATCCTCTGCTGTTCCTAGAAAACAAGGCTGGAAGACATTTCAGTTCAGGCCCACCTCAACACATGTTCTCCATCTGATTAAAGCCACAAGTGCATACTGTCAAAATCCATGGAATGCTCTGATTTAACAGCAGATGAAGATCTGGCTCTTACCATGTTGCTCCTGGCATAAAATGTAACATGGGCCTCCTATAGCTTTGGAGGGAGAAAGAAAAAGCTGCCTGGACAATCACATAGGAAATGACAACAGAAAAACCTCTTCATCTGGGCCCTAATCCTCACTTTACAATTTGACCTCGGGCACAATTACCTACAAAGTGCCTCAAGCTGTCCTAGAGCCCACAGAATTACAGAACCATTTGGGCTGGAAATCTKGTTCCCACCCCCTGCCATGGGGAKGGACACCTTCCACTAGACCATGCTGCTCCAAGCTCCCTCAAACCTGGCCTTGGACAYTTCCAGAGATGGCACAGCCACAACTTCTCTGGGCAATCTKTGCCAGGGCCTCACCATCCTCAGAGCCAAGAATTTCTTCTCAACAACCATTCTAACCCTGCCCTCTAGCTGTGGGAAGTCACTCTACCTTGTCCTGKCCCTCCATGCCTTYGTCCAAAGTTCCTCTCCAGCTCTCTTGGAGCCCCTTYAGGCACTGACAGGGGCTCTAAAGTCTCCCTGGAGCCTTCTCTTCTCCAGGCTGAACATCCCCAGCTCTCCCAGCCTGTCTTYGTAAMAGATGTKCTCCATCCCTTGGAGCATCTCCATGGCCTCCTCTGGRCTCTCTCCAGGWGATCCATGTCCCTCCTSTGTRAGGACCCCAGAGCTAGAGGCAGCTCTGCAGGTAGGGTCTCACAGAGCAGAGGGACAGAACAGAACAGAGGGGATCCCTGATCTCCCTGCCCATGCTGTGGAATCAACTCAGGACCCTACTGGCTTTCTGGGCTGGCAGCACACATGACTGGGACATGCTCAGCCTTTTATAAACCAWCTCCAAGGTGGATCCTGAGATGCACCTGCTGGTCAGAACGAGGATTCCACGTAACAGGAGTGACAGCAGGCAGTGTTCAGCCCAGCYTTACTATRYTGGRTAYRTCCCACCAGGAGCAATGATGGCCCYGGGTCCCTTSTGCTCCGTTTCTCACCTTCAGAGGTTCTCTGTAGGGTTCACTGTAGAGAGTGCGTATCCTTCTGCGTTCCAGGTATTTGTTATCAGCTGGAGAAGGCCTACTGGTTTCCCCTTTGAACTGAGCGCTGTAACTGGTTTCATGGGTGATTTTCTCATCTGGTGGCTTGTACTGGGGCTTTGCTTTTATCGCYTTCACGGGCTTGACGTCTATCCACGGTCTGAACTCATTTCTGAAGATCAAAAAGGAAAAGGTTTCAGGAATTAAAGCAACACAACAATGATAACATGGGAATGGAATCCTGCATTGCTCAACCAAGTCTATGTGGAAAGGATTTTGCCTCCATCCAGTCAGGTTTACATAGAAACAGGCTCYCAACAGCTCATTTTGTACCTAATCTAAAACGTATTGACAAATACATTCAAATTCAAAATTCATACATTCAAATTCAAATGAAATGTGGTCTGTTAAAATCAGCCAGTCCTGGACACACCTTAGCCATGCCTGTACAKAGAGGATTATATGATTCCACCTATACTGCACCAAATTAGGCAGAACAGTTTTGTTAATTCCATAATACCACATAAAAAATTAAGACCAACAGATAGCTAACTAACATAAAACTGTCTTAGAAGTAAACTGGTTCTTAGAAGTAAGCAGAGGAGGAAATGCAGAGTTTATCAAGCATATTGTGAGCTATGGCTTCTCTTTATTAACTGATAGTGGATGCTTGAATTACAGGGAAAAAAATAACACCATCTTTCATTTCTTTTGAATAGAGCTGCAACTTTTGGAAGAAAAAGCCCCAAACACAGTTGAAAGTGTGGATCAGTGTCTGCTGGTTCCCATCCACAGCCTCCTCTTCATTTTGTAGTCCTTCCCAATACAACACCAACAATCTTCCAGGTTTGAAGCAAACCATTCCAATATCTCTCTAAAAGTCACCATGCGCCTGAGAATGGGGAAGGAGATACCCTAAAAGCATTGCTACTTTATGGTAGTTGTGCTCAGACATAGATCAAGGCAGTGTTTAGATCCCTAAAATTCCAATGCAAGCCAGGATCTATCCTTTCAGTGCYGATACAAGCCCTCTGCAAAATGGTGAATTTTCCTTGGAAATAAAAAAATTGCAGAATGGTTTGAGTTGACCAAGAYCTTAAAGCTCATCTCRTTCCAACCCCTTTCMATGGGCAGAGACACYTTCCAYWAGACCAGGTTGCTCCAAGCTCTTGTTTAAATTTCAGAATTTCTGAGGCATTGGGACCTCTTAAGTTGCAGACCCTGCTCCTCTAGCCTGTTCCACTTAACCACTTTTGGGCTGTATTACGCATTTTCTGCCTGGATTACTAGGTATTCTGGTTTAAAAGACAGGTCTGCCAAAGAAGGTGGGAACCTTCCTGGAATGGAAAATATTAACTTCCTCCCTCCTTACTATTATAACTTTGAAATTATAGGGCTTTCAGGCAAAGATATGGGAAAAAGAATATCAGTTCTTTACTAGAATATATATATATACACATATAAACAAACAACAGCAACAACAACAAAACGGAAACCCCCCCAGGAAGAGCATTTTTCTGCCCATTTGGTGCAGTTTTTCCCTTTGGTGCAGTTTTGCTCACAGCTGGAGGGGGCTCTGTGGGTTCAGGGGCCTCAGAGGGCGATGGCAGCGAGCTGAGCCTCCCCTGGCAATGGCAGCTTCAGGGAGAGAAAGCAGGTGGAGAGAAGGAGGTGTTCCAGTTTTCCCCTGGCTCTCAGGTATCCCGAGGGTGTCCTTGGCAATGGCAGCTTCAGGGAGGGAAAGCAGCTGGAGAGAGGGAGGTGTTTGGGTTTCCCCTGGCTCTCAGGTATCCCGAGGGTGTCCTGGCAATGGCAGCAGCCAAGGTTCCAGTAAGGAGCTGGGAGGTGCTGCCCCCGCAGACAGGGAGGAGGTGTGAGCCCGCTYTTCCCCTTAGGCACCCACTCAGATGTTCAGAGTCTCTCTCCCAGCAATGGTGGGTGTTGAAAAGTCCCAGTCCAGTGGTTGCTTCTGCGAGCAGTGGCCCATCAACAGCAAGGAGAAATGGCAAGAAAGGCTCAGCAGTAGCAGGAATTCCCTTGGGCAGAAGTCCAGCACCAAAACCCACCACCATCTGTCCTCCAATCCAGGAAAAGACTGAACCAACCAACCCCCAGTTAAGAAACTGGCAAACACCATATTGCTTCTCCCCCTCTCCCAGAACCATTCCAATGGTATGCCACGGCCCTGGCTACATCTTTTTCAAATAAACGTCCATTCACCATCTCTGTGACAACAAATGAGAGGAAAATTCCCTAAAGAAAAAAACAAGAAAACTTAACTCCCAACACTAGAGAAATAAACTCYGTGTAAGAGGGTTGCCAGTCAATCCCTTCCCGTAATACTTCCGAACATCTTAATCAGCTTCAACCAAATTTGACAAATGGGAATGGAGATATTCAGCTTTCATTTCTATGAAGATAGCAGCTGGACTGAGTCCAGTGGATCAGGAAAGCTTAAGTATGGATCAGAGGATGCACATCATCAGAGGATGCTTAGGCAGGGATGCCAGGCTGCAAAAGGTCATCTGTTGTCCTGACCGAGGACAGATGGCTGTGAGTTGTCCCAGCCCAGCCACCTTGTGGGTGTGTGAGTGTGCATGTGTGTGTGAGTGTGTGTGTGTGTGTGTGTCCCAGGCATTCTCAGGTCTCTTTTTGTTCTTGGGGAAACCATGAGATTTAGCAATTTTGTATCCAGCAGTTATTTACTATTATTTTTACCTGTTTCTGTTATGCCTGTTAGCAAACTGTTATTTTTTCAGTTATCTGCTCACACGTTACTTATTGGTAGAAAGAATTGTTTGAACCTATAACAGGAGGTAACTCATTCCAGAGCGTTCTCCTTTAAAATGTCTCMAACCAAAACAGATGACAAACTCAAAATTCATCCTAAACTCCTCAGAAGATAAGAGGTTTGTTCCTAGGATCCAATTTTGCTCCTAATAGACAACATATTTTCAATATATGGAAATAAAGAAATAAATAAAATGGTGGACTAATTCTCTCTGCTAATATATGTCTATCCCTCCAGCTCCTTTCCCAGCAACTTCAAAGTGTCTTAGCTATTTTCTGTTGTAGCGGAAGTAGAAATGTCAAAGGTGAAAATCACAATACCTTTCCTCAAAATCACAATACCTTTCCTCAAAATCAGCAAATGAACTCGTGGGGAACATCCAAAGAGTGTTCTTCAGCTGAGGAAAGAGACAAAATTTGTATTTCTCACTCATTCTCAGGACTGGAATTCTCAGCTGGAAAACCAGTCCCCACGGATCACCAATCAACCAGCAAAATCAAGCACAGCTTGCATCTACAGAACCAGAGATGAAGGATGGAGGCTGTTGTATTGTGGATATGGGGACTGGATTTTAAAGGTGGATTTATTAATTTTGCTGCTTATAAAATGCTAGTTTGTACAGAAGTGTGGTCTGAAGCAGTGTGACTATATTTGTTACCATAGTGCCTGGCAATCTCATTAGCAGCTGTATTATGCAAAYATAAACATGCAAGAAGTGACAGGCTTTTCCCTGAAGTCCCTGTGATGTCTGCAGAAGAGACACAGAAAAGCCTTKAACTCCCTGTGGGCTGTCAGGGAGTGCATTTCTGCAACAGACCTGGGCTGTTAATGCCACAATCAGTCTCATCTGACTGTGAACAATGAGACTGCTCGTCTCCATCCTTGCTTTGCTGGTCTTAATGAAGACGTAACAATTCTGTGAGTTTTCAGCTCCACTGCTCTTGGTGATTGGACTTGACCCTTGACTACTTTATGTCTCTCAAGATGAGCCTTTGCAGGCAAACGACAGACCAACAGCCATTCTTAGGTGATTGCACACTGATGCACTGTGTCCACCAGCTCTGGAATAGCTTAGCCACAACCTCGGAAAATGGAGGACAGAAGGCTATTCATCTAGAAATACCACAAAGAAATTTTAAATACCAGTATGTCACATGGATTCAATGCACATCTAGAAATAACAGGTTGCCCAGAGAAGCTGTGGCTGCCCCATCCCTGAAAGAATGCAAGACCAGGTTGAATAGGGCTTGAAGCAACCTGGTCTAGTGGAAGAYATCCTCGCCCATGGTAGGGATATTGGAGTAAGATGACCTTTAAAGGTTCTTTAYGACCCCAACCATTCTGKGATTCCGTGGTTATATTCAGMATCCTTTTCAGGCAAATGTCCATGATTTAACATCAACTATAACTCTACAGTTGGTACCTTCAGAGAAAGCATGGACCATGTTCACATGGAGTTCCACCACACYTGGGATGGACCAGCTACTCCCCATTGTGACCACGTTCACAGACTCAGACTGGTTTGAGTTGAAAGGGACCTTAAAGCTCTTGTTGTTCCAACTGCGCTGCCATGGCAGGGACACTTCCCACTAGACCACTGAAACACCCAGTGTGTCCAGTTCTCCAAATCTCCCATCCAGAGCATGCAGAGACAGCAGAAGGAAAAGAGAATCTCTGACCATTCACTACAGCTACTGCTGGTGCAACAGGCTGGTTTCAGAGGCTATTTATGATTCAGGAAACACATAAACTTTAAATGTTACTAAAATAGGCACAGGCTATTCTCTTCTGATTGCATTAGTACCCAGAAACTCAACATGGTTAATTCCTAAGTCTCTCCATCTCCACCACAGATGAGTAAGGGAAAACAACCTGTTGAAAGTGCCCTTGGAAATGCCAGCTCCTGAATCCAACACAGTAATTGCCTGGAAAAGCATTAGTTACAACGGGCCAGAATTGCAGCCAAGAGTGTGCCAACTTTGCAACCTGCATCACCATGTTTGTGTCAGGCACAGGGAACTCCTAATGCAAACTACGAATGAGGAGGCAGCTGCGCTACTTGGGGTCTGCATCTCTGTAGGGCTTGCTTGTAGGGATGAAGGGGATGTCTCAGGATGGTGATCTAAATCCCCCKTCCAGATCTGGTGATTCTCAATCAAATGTCTGTCTGATACTGCTCGGTGTCACCATGACCTCATGTTGTCCAAACAATTCATGGCACACTACACTCTGTTAAGGCAGTCACACTGTACTTCCTGTGCAATGCCCCATTCCTGGAAGTGTTCAGGATGAGGTTGGACAGGGCTTGGAGCAACCTGGTCKAGTGGAAGGTGTCCCTGCCTATGGCAAGGGGCTGGAACTGGATGATCTTTAAGATTCTT